CAGTAGAAAGCACTAAAGTGAAATTGAGTTATTTCGAAAAGTTACCAAAACTAAATATTTTAAAAAATTATTAAACTATCAAGCTATTATTATTTTAATATTAGCTGTTGATAAACTCCTCAAATATATATATTCTATTTTGATATATATATATGATATATATATCATTAGTGTTGCATTTTATTTAGCAAGAAGACAAATTTACAAATGTTAAAAATTTTTTTCGAAAAAAATAGAAGTAAACAAACTTTCGTAGAATTGAACACTGTTCGTAATCACCCAACCAGTAATAATTTCCTTCACTTACAGCTGGCGGCATCTTACCAAGTGAATCCAACCCTGTAATTTTCAAAGCATTTGATATATTATGCCTAAAATTAAAAAAGCCATTTTCATTTAATGATTTGTTATAAATTTAAGTATCAAAATATTTTCAAACTTTCTCACCAGCATTAGTCATTTTTGCTCTTTGATGAGTAATTGAAATAATGTCAAATTCAATTATCATTTTTCCTTTTACATGAAAATCAATTATCACTAAAATACGCATAATTCTTTTGTTCTTATCATTTTTTTCCAGGGAGTTATCAGTTGAGTGTAATTACAAATAACTTTTTCTTATCAGTTATATGATATATGTAATCAATCTATTAACTATTAATTAAAATTGCTTCTCTTTGATTTACTTCCTTCTAATCAAATCGATTAATTAATTAATCTTAAAATGTAATCCGTGTTTTTTGAGAAATTTACAATATTACGAAAAGCTTAACACCTAATGTTATTGATTAGTAAATATTTGCATATTATATTATGCAACAAAATAGATATATTTACAAATATAAAAAATCAATAAAATAGGGTAAAATTAAAATTAAAATACATTTTCATATAAAATTTCAATAAATTGATTTTGTTAAAATTTGGATTAAAATGTGAAAAAAGTTTTATTATCTCTTTTCTTTCGTTTATTTACTGTAAAATTGTACAAATATTTACTGTAAAATTGTGGTACTGTCACTACGAGAAAAATATTTTAGAAAATGGTACCATCAAAAATATCAAATACGCGAAAAATACTTAAAAAAAATTGGTACCATCAAAAATATCAAATTTTTTGAAATAAAAAATTTTAAATTAAAAAAATTTGAAATATTTAAAATAAAATAAACAATAAATAAATAAATAAAACATACAAACAATAACCCATGAAGTTTGACGTGTAATATTCATTTTATTACGTGAACAATTCACGCATTCCTCATATTCAACATTTTCCAAATTACATTCTTGCCAATTAACATCCAAAAAATTGGATAATGAACAAAAAATTTTCGCTAAACCATTACGACAATTTGTTGTAAATGGTAAACGATGTGAGATATCACACATTTCAGTTGCTGTTTCTGGGAAATTTATATTTTCCAAAAATGTTGGCCATAAATAATCGATCGATTTAGGCCTTATTGGTAGACGAAAATAACAGAGAAGACAGCTTTGACAAATTGAAATAATTATTGCAATTATCAATAATGATAGCAATATTCGATGACTATTTAGCTTCATTGTATCAAAACTAAATAATGAATCAGTTTGATAAGGTGAATTTCAATGAGCATTTAATCATTCAGTCATTTACTGATAAGAGAAAATTAATGCGGAAAAATGAATTAACAATGTTAACTATTGTTAAAGCTTATACGGTTAAATGATTAGCAAACTTTTTAATGTAACTTTAATGATTAATTCATTCTAACAAAATCTATTTAAAATGCATTTTTTATCTCGTGCAAAAATTTCATATATCATAGTTGTTCATTGTAATTTACTTTCTCTTTTTCTTATTAATTAAAAATTAAAACAATTAGTAATTTTTTAAAAAATTAATGCTAAATTTCAGATTTCAACTGTTATCCATTTATTGTATTTTATTGGTAAAATAGAATTAAAATAAATTGGTCAAATAACTAAATGATATTTCATCATTTCTTGCATAATCCATTTATTGGCAATAATGTTGTAAACTGTAAATCAGGTACGATTAAAAATGAACAATTCCGGTTCCGAGCGAGCAATTCCGGTTACGATTGTATAAATTTATCCGTTCTTTCGCCAAATTACAACAAATTAGATTAATCTTACTATTATTGTATTATTTAGCTCTAATAGAACAATTAATATTAATTACAAAAAAGAAGGAAAAGAAAAAGTTCACTTTTGATAAAAAAAGGAATGAATCATCGATATGTGTATAATTTTAAATAATTCATTGATAACATTAATGATATCTGTGATATATTGATTAATTTTAATTGCTATAATGATTTGAAGCAATTAAAATAAATGGTTATAATGGTATAGAAGTTTTCCTTTCAAAAAAAAAAAACTTTAATTATTGATAATTTATTAGCAATAATTCACTGTGAAAGACATGTTACTTTGACCTATTGATCGATCGAAATGATTAATATTCCTACTAATCAATATAAGTAACAATTCATCATGAAAGATTTGTTACTTTGATCTATAGATCGATCGAGATGATTGATATTCCCACCAATCAATTATTACTCAAATTATTATTGATTTTGAATTAATATTAATTTCGAATTACATCTTGTTAAATATGTACCTTTATATGTTTCATATATAATATATATAATACAATAACATAATACATAATATATTATTAAAATTATTAAGAAAGAAAAATTAAAATTTTGATAGAGAAAGGAAGAGGGAAATGAAGTATCATTTATAAGATCGAGAAAAGAAAATGGAGATGCAGCATGAAATACTTTTTAAATTTAAATTACAATCCTCAAACAACTAATTTGTTCCGTATCTGAAATGATGACATATAATTCAAGGTGAAAAATTTCAATTAGATAATTGCAATATCTATTTAGTAATAGCAATGATCAAAAAGAAATGAACTTCATTTCAAAAAATTTTTCATTTTAGAAAATTCTTGAAATGAATTATTAAATGGATATTACAATTGATGTTGCACTTAGAGAGATCATATTTCGAATACGAATACAGAATATTTTAAATGTTAAAAATATAAACGATAAAAATTTCAATTAAAAAATTGAAATCTAAACAAAACAAAAGGAACTTTCTTAAATATTAATTAGTTAATTAATTTAAATTAGTTACTACTAATTTAGCATTTGTATTAGTGTAAGTTAAAAAAGGAACATATTGTAAAGAATTAAATTAAATTCGGAGAAGTTAGCATATTATTTATAAATTTCGATAAAACATAAATTATTGAAAAAAATTTTAAAATATTCTTAAAGGAAATAAATATGTCACTAATTTGCATAAATATTCAATGCTAACAAAATAAAAATTACAAACAAACTATAGCGAATATAGAAAGATTAAAATTTAAGAATTTAAGCAATCATCAGCTAACACAAATACTTCTTCCTTTTTACATCAACGATCGATAAATATATTCTCGAACAACTGACACTTTTCGATGTAAATAACAAGAACATATGCGAAGCATTTATGAAATGATTTCGATAAAATTTCTTGGATTAAATAAATTACAGATTTCAATAACCTATTATTTAACTCTAATTTAATTGCATAGCAAAATTAGGCTAGATAGATTACGAGGGAAAGAAATTGAAAGGTAAACAAACTGCTGGTTTAATAAAGGTAAAGTGAGGTATAATTATTGTCACTGCTTGTTTAACAAAAGATATCATCACTATTAATCATTATGAAATATGAAAAATTAAAGCATTTGCTTTTTCAACAAGCTATCATAGTGCAATGAATGGAATTTGTATGCTCGATAGCAAATGATTTACAGCAAGCTATAAAATTTTTAGACGAATTATTGGAAAGTTTTCGTTCAGTCTTTTCCTCTTTTTCACTTTTTTTTATCTCTTGATATTTAAATGTATATGTAATTTTCATAATACGTAAAACAGAATGGTGAAATGTTTTAAATTGGAAAAGCAATGCAAAATGAGTCAAGACCACTATTTTGAATTGCAATTATACAGCAATCGACACATCGCAGTGATATTATATCACAGAAGGAAAAGAAACGATACAACACATACATAAAATTAAATTTGTAAAGTAACAAAGTACAAAAATATATGAATCTGAATCAGATAAAATTCATATGAAATGCAAGAAAAAAGAGAAACACAAAAGAGAAACAGAAAAAGAAACAAATTTTTAAACCTCAAATAAGTGAAAATCAATATATTCACAAAAAAAAAATGACTGGAAATTATCATTTTTTCACAAATTTATCCTTTCACACAGAAGGAATTTAGAGCGGAACACTACGAAACTTCCCCTATTTTGTTGTTATTCGATGGAAAAAAAAACCGAAAATACTTAAAAATATAGAGATTGTGGGAATGGAGGAAAAAACGCCAAAATAAAGTTAATATAAAACGATATTCGGAATATTTTTAAATATAGTTATTGCACTCGATCATTAATTATCTGTTTCGCCATCTCTCGTTTCTTCGCTCTTTTTTTCGTTGTCATCATTTTTTGGATCACTATCTTTTTGGCTTTCTTCATCATCTTTCAGTTTAGTAATTAAATCTAAACAATATTCGAAAATAATATGCAATTCCAGGAAAAATATAAATACGAATCTTCTACTAAAACGCCTGGAAAACTCAATATCACGAATTTGTTCTTTATTAACCTTCTCGTCAAATTTTTTTATAAAGAAAACGTCCTTACCTTTAGCAACTTTAAAAATTCCCATCGTATTCTGCTCACATATGTAGCATTTCGGCGTTTTTTGGAAATGTCCCAGAGCACATTTTTCACAAAAATAATGCTTGCACCTTCAAAAAAAGTTGATAAAAACAAATGATTTCTAGAGACATTTATGGTATTTGTAACATGACCGAGTTCAAAAAAATTACTCTAAAACTGATGATCGATTCGGTTCAGTACTTACTTCGTTACGACTGGATTTACAAATGACTGTCGACAGATGAAACACTTAAATGGTAGTTCACTCTCCTCTTCTGCTTCATCCTCACTAGTTATCCGATATTTATCTTCATCATCTTCTTTCATCCTACCAGCAGTATAATCACGTTCAATTTCCCAGCCATGCTTATAATCTGTACGATCGTGGAGAAATTTACACGAATCTATAAAATGAAAATTTTTAAGTGGGCTACTTTCAACAATAATTTGTTCCATCAAAAAAACAACGCGATGAAATATCGATAAATGGCTATAAACATTATATATCTTTACAATAACATTAAAAAAGTTTAATTATCAACAAATTTAGAGACTTAAAAAGGTTATACCATTAAGTTACAAATTTAGAGCCTTTACAGTCACCTCTAAAAAAAGTTCTACCGATAACTGTAAAGAATTTTGTAACTTTAATGCAGAAACTTCATCCTTATGCTAAGTGGCTATTTAGTGAAGTCAGCCTCAGTACGAAAGAGTACTTCAAAGGACATTTAAAACCGCGTTTTAAATTTAAAAAAAAATCATGCCATCAAGAATAGAAGAGGAAGGAAAGAGAGAAGTCTAATTTACTGTTATGATAGGGATACTAATGATGTTAAGGAATAAGAAAAACAAGAAATAACCTCCAAATGTACAAAATCCTGTCTCCTTATAATCCTTGCAAATGTCTGGTGCAAAATCCCATCTTACTGACTGCCTCAAAAAATTCGGTGCTCTTATAGGCCCGAATCGATTAAGTCCTGATGAAGCATTTCCCCAAACCGTATCCTTCTTCTCCTTTGCTCCATAAAGAGCTGCACCTCGATAAATCTGTAACATATATTTGAAAACCGTATACCAGTTATGACAGATTTCTGTATAAATTATATTGAAGGTCTAGTTTTTGAATCGTCTTGATATATTCGGAAAAATAACAGCAAAACACCACTTCATGCCATGATGCAGTTCCATTAGACATCTATAAACAAGGTTATCAATCAATTCAACTTTGCGAGTCAAATTTGCAAACGTTTGACTTTCAACTTTAAATTTCATACGAGAAAATCAATTTTCGATGCACCTTATCGTCCCGTTCCTCTTTCAAAATTTGCTGTACTCGTTCAAATTGTGCTTGAGCATCGCTCTTTATATCAGTATCAATCTCACTGATTGCCGTTGCACCCATATCAGATGGCCCAGCACGTTCTGATGTTCCACTCGATGCAAATGTGACAAGCAATGGATCATCCTGAATTAATTCGTCCTCATTGGATGATGATGATGCGCTCTCTGATGTGGATTTCGACGTTTTCTGAACCTTTCGGTTGATCGTCTAAAAAATTGCCATTTCTTCTTGATAATGATTGTTCATGAATTTTTCACGATATTTTATCAGAAAAAAGAGCCCTTTTAACATACTTCACAAATAGTAAACCAATTGTTAAAAAAAATTGAAATATCAAAAATGAAAACCTTCTTTAAAGCAGCTAGAAGGGAAAAACCGAAAAAGAAGAAAGCACTGGAGGGAGAAATGATTGAAGGTGACAGGAGATTGACAGGTTTATTTAAAAACTAACCGACTGTATCATCGGATTTTTCCTTTTTTTTCGCCCATCGACATATTTCACTACTTCATTCTTATCTTCAGCATCATTTGATGAATCTGATGTGTCAGAAACACATTTCCTGCTTGATATTGCATTTCTTGCTGTACCTTTTCGGCTTCTAAATACAGCAATTGATGATGTTGCTTCAGTTAACTCCTGATCTGACATTATACTATTCCCTGAAATAATCGACAATTATATGATATGCAAATACTATGACAAATGATAGTTACATACATCATACACTAATTCTTCTCATTTACTTTGGTGTTCCGTTTTTGCAATTAGTCCTAGAATTATTCCGGTTACTTATTTTCCAATTATTTTTATGACTAAATTACGATATATTTTCAGTAATCGGTATTAACGTTTCATCTTCCTACTGCTTATTTTCTTTAATGTTTTTACTCTTCAAATAAAATATGGTGCAAATTAATTATTTATTATTTATAATTAATTTTTTTACTATATAACCACATGATGATAACAATTAATGCCATTCCACTTACACTATATGTAATCATCGCTTATGATGGCTACTATATTAGATACTCTCAAGTATACTAACCGAAATTATCGCAATTTGAACCAATACCAATTCTAAACTCCCATCGTTGCATTCTCTTTATGTTCTCTTAATTTAGCTCTTTATGTTCTCTTAATTTCAGTACTCTCATTCTCTGCTATTATTATCATTCGCATTTATTTTTTTGCAATCTCGCTTTCTGTCAGTGCGATATTTTGATAGCGTTGTAATCACTGCATTCTCCACATTCATCGCATTATTTTTGCATTCTCATTTAGTTTCATTCATAAATTGTAAACTTATTTTCAAATTCTTTCAATCCCTCATTGCATTTTATTTAACAAATTGCTTCGCTCTTTACCTCTCTTGTTACTTACACACTATTTCTTTTCTATCTCAATCATTAAGCATCTTTTATGTTTGTTTTTATCAATCTTTTCTCTCTCTTTGGATTATAGCTTATTTTGTTTCTCAAAAAATAGTGAATGGAAAGCAGAGTGAAATATTCTTAATGTTCGTTTGCTTAGATGTAATTGACAATAATTACAGCCGGAAAAATATTGAACTTAAGTATATTTAGTGAGAGACGTAACCGGATTCCGGTTCTAGCTCTGAGACAAAATTTGCAAATTAATTTTGGTTTCATTCTTCGATCGTTACAAAAAACATATGTAAAGTAGCAAACACGGAATTAATGATTGATAGGCTTAAATTTATGTTGATGAGAATGTGGATAATACTTTTATGTGGATAATACTTCAGTATGTGGATAATACTTAAAAGATGCTAAAAACTAGGTCATGTTTTACGGAAGGCTTCAAACGGTTCAGTTCATCGAATGGTTCAGTATTTGAGGGTAAGAAACTTCGTGTTATAACGGTGGATGCGCTAAACACGTTAATTCGGTAAGTGTGAAATGTAGGAAAATTAATTTTTATATATGAATATATATGTAATTTATATATATATTTCATCTGAAACGTAAATCTAAGTATCTATTTGACAGCAGCGTTATATAAGAAATTCACATGATTTTTCGAGAGAAGTTTATTATTTCATCATGAAGTTTTAGAGTAATCAGTATTATTATTGCCTATATGTATTTAGTAACTAGTTAATAATTAATAGTTTAGTTTTTTATTAATTAGTAAGCAGTAGTCAGCTATTGCAAATGATTGTCGATCAAGCTTTTTGGATTATAAGACGGGAGAATTATGATTTTCTTCTTTATGAAAGCTTTTTTTATCAGTTTAGCAAAACAAACAGTTAAATTTGAATTGAGTCATATTACAGTTTAGAACAGTCGCCGGGATATACATATGCTGCTTTTGCAAAACATGTCAATGTTCAGTGCAATGCCGATGAGTTAGATGAAGCATTTCGACGAAATTTTAGAAATTTATCGAAACGGAAATTATGTTATGGATTTGGGAAAGATGGTGAGATCGCATGGTGGGTTGAGCTCGTGAAGAATTGCTTCGCAGATGTTAGCTAGTTTTCCACTATTCTAATGTTTTTTATGTAAATTGTTAATTATCTAATAAGCGTGGTTACATTGTCAATTAGGACATTTGCAGAATCAAAAGTATTTCTAAAATTGCCCTGATCATCATAAGAGATCAAAAGTATTTCTAAAATTGCTTTAATCATCATAAGACATTTTTGAAAAGTTATCTGAGACCGATCGTTTCAAATCGATCGCCTTTTAATCATTAGGAAACCTTAGTTATGCTAGTATATTTTGTTGGTTTGTGTATTTCAGTTGAAAAAATCATCTTTTTACGTTTCTTTTGTTTTCATCTTCCGAATTTCGACTTCAGAGTATAGCTGTAGCAGTTCTGATGGCGTTCAGAAAATTCCACTTATATCTGTGAAATTTTTAAATGCATTTTACGAAAGTTTTACTTTTTAGTTTTGCAGATTGGTGAGAAAAGTTCTGAGATAGATAAACTGGCGCATAAACTTTATGCTTATTATGGTTCTGTGAAACCATGGAGATTGGTTGACAATCAGGTACTGATTAATCTTTTATTTCTAACGTCTGGACATAAGTATTTAACCAGCAGGAAAAAACTCATCTGGTGAAAGATAATAGTTTTTCTAGAATGTTTTGTTATCACCCCTTGAATATCAGTATTTTTGATGGTATTATTTCGAAATAGAAGCTACCACGTAGTTTAGTAGAATGTTAAGATGGATTGGAACGATTCGAGTGCGGGCATCATAGGCTTTCTTTTAGAAAACTATGATATACGGTTATATTCGGCATCTTTCATGAAATGCGTTGAATACACGCACGTGCAATATCAAGCCTTTTTTGATTATGGTATTAATAGCTTTAAGAATGGCAAAAGTTCCTTATGAATTTGAGAACCGTTAAACTTGACTTAAAATTTTCTAAATTAATAGTAGATTAGGAAAGTTGGAAAATATGTGAATTTTTATAGAAATTAATTTATAGGTTCACGATCATTTGAAGGAATTGCAGAGCCGAGAAATTCGATTAGGTGTGATATCAAATTTTGATAAACGTCTTAGGGATATTCTGGAAGGCTTAAAACTATCATTCCTCTTCGAAATGATGTTTCTAAGCGGGGAAATAGGTGTAGAAAAGCCGAATAAGCAAATTTTCGTAAAAGCTGCGAAATACTTTCAAATTAGTGAAATGGAGGAAATGCTTCATGTGGGTGATAACGAAGAGAAGGATTTCAATGGTGCAAGAAAGGCGGGTGCAAGAGCCGCTCTATTCAATCCTGATAGAGTACTATATAATAATAAGGGGTATATTATTTCCTCGTTAAAAGATATAATTGATAAATTGGAATAACGGATAATAATCAATAACATGCTGGAATGAATGATTTTTGTTTTAATATGCATGGAAATAATTATTTATATTACATATGTAGTGATTTATAAATATATACAGACTATCGGTGGTTTGAGTACATAATAAAATAAACAGAAGTTCTCATCAAAGAAAACAAAAAATCAGAATACTCAAAATAAAACAAAAAAATAAGGCAGAATAAACCAAAAAAATTATCAAAACAAAGGCCTGATGAAATAGGTATGAACACAGAAAATGGCCAAGAAGAACAACAAAACAACAAATTGTTCTTTTTAAAGCAACTTTATCCTCTAAAAAAATACCTTGGAATAATATCACATTGGCCTAGCATATTTGGCTTTACAGGGACACTTAGATTCGCCCAAAAAATGATGCTCCAATGAAGTTTAAAAAAAGCAATAGTTTGTAAAATTAAAAAACAATTATAATCAAATAAATATTCAACGTAGTAAAAAAATAAACAAAGCAAAAATACTTATTCGAAAAAATAAAATTTCAGAAATAAAGGTAGACTTCCCTGTCTTTTTTCATACTACAACTTACGCCACTTTAGATAATTGGCAAATTGATATTTTTTGTGTCATTTTATTTATTAAATTTCAGACATTAATTAAGAAAGAGAAATCCACTTATCTTTTTAATTTTAAAACGTTAATCAATACTGGAATTTCGATATTATTTTCTATGACAGAACAGTTGATAATATTTAAATGAAATGAACTTAGTATTTAAATAAGGTTCGCTATAAACTATTAGTGAGTAAATAAGTAAGTATATTTTGGATATAACTTCACATTAACCTTTTACCTTGATATGAACTTTAAAATATTGATCTGGCTGAACTAAACGTTTTCTTTTAGTCGTCCACTGATTGGATCATCAGTTTTCAGTGAATCAGTAGGATAGCTTTTTTTCCAACTACACCGCATTTCTAAGAGAGGCATTGAATATGAATATCTTAATCATAATCTAAAATCGTTATCAGTCTGACATTAATTATACGATAACTAAAATCATTTAATTAAAATTTTATAAGAAAAATGAAATTCGATAAAAATTTAAAATTTATAATATTCAAGTATTACAGCAACCGTTTATTAACTTACTAAATATAAGGTATATAAAATTATTGGAAATGAATATTAAGGCATTGAATATGAATAAGAGGTCATTTTAGATAAAACAATGATATCAACTGAATTAACAAAATAATTTGCTGGAGATTAGGCTTTAAATAAAACAATGATATCAGCTGAATTAATAAAAAAATTCGCTGGAAATTAGGCAATTTTGCTAATTAAACAATTGTCCAAAACTGCAAAAAAATAATTGAAAAAGTATTATTATCTCTAAAAGATAATAATACTTAAATTTAAATTCTAACTCAATTAGAGCATTCATTTCCAATAAATTAGTGAGAAATTTTTTTTCAATCAAAAATTTCGAATATTTTCAATGTCAAACAATTAAAGGTTATTTTGTGGTCATCCATTTCATTTCATTCTCACATAGTTAATAATAACAATAAATTGTGAATGAAATGGAAAAATTAAGTGCAAACGGCGAAACGTCCAATTGACGGAATGGAACGGAACGGAACGGAATGGCGTAAAAAAGGGAAAGTTAACAATTTCATATTTCTCTTTTGCTCGTTGGAAAAAAATGTCATTTCTCTCAGTATCATTAAAATTAAAACTTACCTTTAGCTTGGGAAAATTTTCCGCATGGGAATTGTCATTTTTCTTTTTCCAATAGTTTCTCATTTTTGAATTATTAAATATCACTTCTGATTTAGTCAATTTAAATTCATCCAATTAAACATTTTAATATATTAAAGTTAATTACAATTCATTACTATCTCTCACATAACATTTTTCACTTAATAATGACATTCTTTAATTTCTTATTTCATTAAACTTTAAAATATTGCGACCTTCAGAAACAACATTTACCTATTTGTTGAATGATCGAAAAATGTTTTCTTCAATTCTAACCATTTCTCGGGGGAAGATAAAATTATAACTTAATCCTACCGATAAGCATACATAATATATTTTGCGGGAAAATTTACTCAGTCATTAATTTAACTAAGTTAACTCGTTACTTTCATACGATAACATTCTTATCAAATTATCCATTACATTATTAAATTTACCCCTACTTTTCTCCATTTAATGATTAGTCGTAAATGTCAATTAGTGAGCATATCTCGCAATATCATTTAAACCTTACCTAATCTAATTAATCTGACTGATGTAATTGATGTAATTAAGATCTCAGCCTTATTCATTCTCAGATATCTAAGATAATTGTTGAGATTAAGAAGTTACAAATTCAATTATTTCTTACTCATTCAATAAATCTAATATTTATGATTGTATAATTCATAATATCGTAAAGTAACAATCTCTGTTTACACATATATCATTTCATATTATCATTCAATAGCAATTCTATCCTTTTTCTCCTTCGTTTAATTAGATTAATTTGGCATTGTTTCCAATTAAATTAAATTTTTCAAATTTTTTTTAATGATGAGAAAAAAGTGGTTGGGTTTTTTGCAACGAATTTATTTGACTTTTTACTTTTTCTTCAATTCTTTACCCCCTAATTTATATTATGTTATTATATTTCAAGAAAAGCAAAAATCGGAAACGGAAGACGAAATGGAACAGTTCCGATACGGAAAACATCTTGGTCATAAATAAAATTGTCATCAGTTTTAACCATTTTTTCGGTTCCTTTTCTTTTTCCTGCGATTATAATGTATACGCAGTAGATGAAACCTGATGATAGCAATTGTTTGCTGCGAAAAATAAAACGATAAAAGAGCAAAAATTAAAGAAAAAAGAATTTACATGAAAGCAAGCAAATCAATGACAGACCGGATCCGTTTGGTGCAGAGCTGGTATTTAGTGAAATGATTTCATTGCTTATATTACATAAATGTAACGAATTTTCCGCAACATATGTACGTAATGAATCACGCTGTAAATAATGCAATACCAACAGAAAAAATAAATCAGTAATATACCGAATCCGCTTTGCTACAGACTTATTGCGTTTGCAATATACGCAATAAAATTACGTAACAGTATAGACCTTTTCCGTTCCATAAAGTATGCAAATGGATCCGGCTGAAAATAATGCATATTTATTGCGGTATGGCAATCAGAAAGATACGTTATGCAATCAGATAGATACGTGTTGAGATTTGCGGTTTTCGTAACGCACGCGAACAAATCAGAGTTATCGCGGTTCGTGCTTCTCATGACGTATGCAAACTGTCAGGTTGATAAAGTTCGGATATATGCGGGATAGTTTTGAATGGAGCGGAGTTTTTTTTTTTAATGATATAGATTTTACGCACGGATTATATTCTAGGATATGGGTTTTAGTGAGAATTTTGATATAAATTAAATATTTTCATGTCGTAATTTTAGCATATGACGGATTCGTTGTCAATTTCAACAGGTTCAACCGGAGACAACAAAATGTTAGCATCAAATTCAGTGGGTATCACCAGCTTGTTGACATTTGTCATCCTAATATTAGCATGGATTGTTGGTTTTGCTTCACGATTATTTGCTGTTATTCGATTTGAATCTATTATCCATGAATTCGATCCATGGTTTGTTTTTATTTATCCTTTCTTCTTCCACTTTCTCTTTTCGTTTTTTTTCTAAATAATATGTATGTGATAAGTTCTTCCGGAAATTACTCTTTCATTCTAGTTATAACTCCAGAAAAACTGGACTTGATTGCTTGAGATATATTCTTGATTTAGTATAAACTAAAAAACATTACCACATGTTACGATTTGTGCGATAGTTTAATACGACATGTTTCGCTTTCCTCTGGAATGTTGCTGAAAGATGTAAAATTTCTTGGATAAGCAGTGCAATTTAATCATGCTACTATATTTTTGTTGAATATCAATCAGGTTTAATTACCGATCAACGCACTATATGGTTGAACATGGCTTTTATAATTTCTTAAACTGGTTCGATGATCGAGCATGGTATCCGCTTGGACGAATTGTTGGAGGCACAGTAAGTTGTAGCTTTTTTTTTTGAGCAGGGAAGAATGTTTCAAACAATCGGTACTTATTTAAATATTTGATATGGGTATGACTTTTCGACTTTATTTTCCAATGCTTTTGTACTTTGACTTATCTGTTTACGTAATATTTTTGCAAAGATGTATTGCTATTCATACATCTATATACTGATAGGAATTAATAAACGAAAATATCCGTACATAAGTTAATGTGAAGAAGTATTGATAAACGTATATGGAATGATATATCAAAAATACATGAATTTGTGTCAGTATAGTAAATAGTATTTTTAGCTTTTAATTTCTTTTAATTTGAGGTTATATAATCTATTATTTCAAAGAAAATTGTCACCATGTTGAAAAATAATATTGACTTTTTTCCCCATTTTTTTTTGTTTTGGCAGAATTAATAGCAATATTAATGTAGGTTTATCCTGGACTCATGGTAACTTCCGGGACAATACATTACATTTTATCATTTTTAAATATTTCTGTACATATCAGAGATGTTTGTGTTTTTCTGGCTCCAACATTCAGGTGTGATTTATTATTATTCTTTTCACCATTCGTAAGCTACGTTTTGATATTAAATTGAGTTTATTGAATTTATTTCCCAGCATTTTTTTCAAAAATTCATGCTTGTTTTTTATTTTTAGTGTACTGCAGAATGACTTTGACATTGTGGACTATTTCTACTTTTGGTAAGAAATTGCTTAGTTTTACTAACTGTAGTAGGTTAATCTAATTATTTTCAGTGGTCTCACAGCTATTGCTACATATTTTTTAACGAAAGAACTTTGGACACCAGGTGCTGGTTTGTTTGCAGCATGCTTCATCGCCATTTCACCCGGTTATACTAGTCGTTCAGTTGCCGGCTCCTACGATAATGAAGGAATTGCAATTTTTGCATTGCAGGTATATATTTATTTATATGTACATGCGTTTCGAAGTACAAATTAGATCTTTGGAACTTTTCATCCTCTGTTTTAAATTTTCTTTTTTTGAAAATTTTCATTCTGTTTTTACTTCAGATCTTTATCTTTTATTATAAATTTAAACTTATCCATTTTTAAATTTTGAAATTTGTGAAGTGGTGCTTAACAATCTCTGTGAGGGATGATCATTTTTTTGTTTCAGTTCACTTATTTCTTATGGGTTCGCTCTGTGAAAACTGGTTCCGTGTTTTGGGCAACATTAACTGCTTTATCATATTTCTATATGGTCTCTGCTTGGGGGGGTTATGTGTTCATCATAAATTTGATTCCATTGCATGTTCTTACACTCATATTAATTGGCCGGTATTGTTCTAAGCTTTACATTGGTAAGGTTTTCACTCAATTCTTTCTAATTTGCACTTTACATTGATTTCACTCAAATTAAGGAATTTCAACTGTTTTTTGCTGTTCCTCCCAAATGTAGTTAATGTCTTCGCAATATCCATTCTTCACTGTATTGCCTTTGGTCTTACTCTGATAACTGAAGTAATTCCATGTTTTCTTCGAAGAGATCGTGTTCTCTTCTGTCCACGTTTTATCGTCATAATACTCACCACCTGCTCAAAATCTTCCATTTTTGGAAAGCATTTTAATTTAATTTTACAGTTCTCCTATTTCCAGCATATACGACTTTCTATATTTTGGGACAAATAATGGCAATGCAAATACCATTTGTTGGCTTTCAGCCTGTGAAAACTTCCGAACATATGGCTGCTGCTGGTATTTTTGGCTTGTTACAGGTAGTGAATTTCACGTGCTCTTCATTCAAACCAGTATTCGGATTTGAAATTCGCGAGATTTTTCAAGTGATGTTTAAAGGTAATGTTATTATTCTCTTTTCATAGGTTATCGCGGCGTTAAAGTATATGCAGCATCGAATTTCAAGGAAAGAATTTATGACTTTATTTTTCGGTGGAATTTCCTTGGTATTTGTATTAGGAATATTTACGATTATTGTTCTAACATATGCTGGTACGGTTTGAAGTTTTAAATTATTCCTTACAATTTTCAATTTAATTTATTTGTATTTTTGAAGAATTTTATTCACCTTTTAAAATGTTCTCCCCATGTGCTGTGAAAATACGCATTTATTAAACTAAGATATATTTGTAGGCTATATAGCACCGTGGTCGGGACGTTTTTATTCACTGTGGGATACTGGTTATGCAAAAATTCATATACCAATTATTGCATCTGTTTCGGAACATCAGCCCACTACTTGGGTTTCATTCTTCTTCGATTTGCACATCACAGCTGCTGTTTTTCCAGTCGGTTTGTGGTACTGTGTTAAAAATGTCAATGATGAGCGAGTTTTCGGTGAGCTTTTTTAGTGTTTCTCGAGATTTCGATTGTTATATTGAACTAGATTTCTTTAATGGAAGATTTTCAGTTCCTTCGCGTTTCAGTTTTCTAAATATTATTGTTGTATTTGTAGGGTTTTCAAGTTCCGGGTTATGACCAATGTAAAGAGTTAGACATTTCGTTTTTACCTTCTGCTCTTCGTTTTTGACAAATAATCGTCAGGAACCCATAGCTTTATTTTTTAGTGATACTTTATGCAGTAACGGCTGTTTATTTTGCTGGTGTAATGGTTCGTTTAATGCTTACACTTACTCCAGTTGTTTGCATACTTTCTGGAATAGCTTTCTCTTACACGTATGAAAGGTATCTTCTGGTCAATGACGGTGATCAATCAAAAAGGTTCATTATCGTCGATTTAGCATTATTTTTTATATTTGTCAATTGTTAAATATATTGCGATAATGTTCTGTCGGTTGCAAGATTGTAGAAATGCTTATGAGCTTATGAGCTAAAGAACGATCACAGTAGGAAAGCACCCTGAAGCATACAGTTTCTACATAGCTTTTTTAAAGTAGTGTCCTGTACGTATGTTTCACCTGTTTCATTCCTTCTTAAAATACATTATTTTTCGTTATGAATATACAACACTTAAACATACTCCATAGAATATTAAAATATGAAGTGAGGCATAGCATTGCAAATTGCACGGTAGTGTCTTACACTCTTACACTTCACTTTACCGAGGATATCTCATACACCGTACCGAGTATGTTCAGGCAGTAATATGTTAATGAATAATGAACGGTAAATTAGGAAATCGTTTCAGTGTTAATAACGACGAAGAAAACCAACATTTATACGATAAAGTTGGAAAAGGACGGAAAAGTGGTTCATGGACGAATCAAGCAGTATTGGAAAATGATGAAATGTCTATCGGAATGAATGCGCGGTCTATCGTTTCAGTGGTATTAGTTCTGATGCTGCTAATGTTTGTTGTGCATTGTACATATGTCACGAGCAATGCGTATTCTCATCCATCTGTTGTCTTGCAGTCGCATAGTTCTAATGGGTAGGCATATCGGTTTATGAACATAATTATCAGTAAAATGTTTGAAATGTTTAATGATGTATGGTGAGATTTCATAATAATGATTAAGGATCTGTTTTATAAGATGAAGCTGCAATTTAAGTGTTTAGTTATTTTCTCCTCGACTTCGAATTATTGGATAATTTTTGCTATTAGAATACTGCAAAAAAAATCAATCACTTGCTTATTGTAGGGGCCGCGAAATTATGGATGATTTTCGTGAAGCCTATTACTGGTTGCGAAAAAATACGGAAGAGAATGCTCGTGTGATGAGTTGGTGGGATTACGGTTATCAAATAGCTGGTATGGCAAATCGTACCACCCTGGTTGATAACAATACGTGGAACAATTCACATATAGCTCTAGTAATTGACTATTACATTTTTCTTTATTTAGTATCGCTTTATTTAGTAGTAAAACTTTCAATATAAAGGTCACAGTTAAAAAGTTGAGTTCCGAAGAACTCCACCGAAAAGACCATTGAATGCTCAAGAGCAAGTTAGGGATATTCTTGTAAACAAAGTTACATTCTTATATATTGTAAATGCGACTCTGGTCAACACTATCTACTGGGCAGTTAGTATTATACTATTTTCTGGAGTTATCATACTTTCAGAAAAGTTGCTGAGAATTATGATGACCAATTTTTAGGTTGGAAAAGCGATGGCATCGAATGAGTCAGTTGCGTATGAAATCATGTATGAACTAGACGTCGACTATGTATTGGTTATTTTTGGCGGCGTTATTGGATATTCAGGTTGGTTACTCATTTTATCAAATTGATGTAGGGAGTATTACCGATAAATTTGAGTTTGCAGCTTACTTTAGCCCTAGTTTTTGAAGTACGTGACAAATGAGAAGGAAAAACTTTAAGAAAAGTGTTTTTTTTAATTTTTTTGTAAAAATTTTGAGCTTGAAATTTGGTTGCCTTATGAAAAAAAAGAAATCCATCAAATGATGTTTAAAAATTACATCTGATGCAAAGTTCAGCATAGCTTGAATTCTTCCAGGTGATGATATTAATAAATTTTTGTGGATGGTACGGATAGCTGAAGGTGAACATCCAAAAGAGATACATGAAGCAAATTATTTCACAGAGTCAGGTGATTATAGTGTTGGATCAGAAGCTTCAGAAACGATGCTCAGTTCTGTAATGTACAAAATAACTTATTATCGTTTCGCAGATTTCGAGGTAAATATTTTGTGCGCTCCTAAAAAATCAAGAAATCAAATCGAAATATTTTATTGGGATCCGATGTAACGGTAATAGGTTTTGTTGAAACATGGTTTGATGCATTCCAACATTCCTCAGTAACAATGGAAAGACACAACCAAGCTTTTCAATCAGCTAAAGAGCTTGCCTATGTCTTTTCTGATTCACCGATAAGTTTAATCAATATATGGTTGGTGGCTGTTTTGATTTTTCAAAATGTTGAATATTTAAAATTAAGGTCTCAATTTTTTCTATTTTTCAAATGAGATGACGCTTCAGATAGCTTATCGGCAACAGGCAGGTTACGATCGAACTCGTGGATATATTATTGGTCGGAAAAATATTGTATTGGAACACTTGGAAGAAGCTTTCACATCACAAAACTGGCTTGTGAGAATTTACAAAGTGTTGAAGCAGAAGAATAGACCAGTGATTCCAAGAAAGAATAGGAGAAAACAGACAGTGTTACATTCCAATTTTAAAAAAGTATATCTCTTTCAAATATCTTCATATTTTGAATATTAATATGAAGTGATTGATTTCCTATAAATCCCCATTTGAGCTTCCTTTGATAGACATTTCTAATTGTATTTCATTTTCTATGTGCATCACGCATCATTTGCTTTAGACTTCCCCACTTCGCAAAAATTTTTGATGAAGATGGAAACCCTTATATTTGTTACTGCAACTTTTTGTTGCTACAACTTTCAAAGTTCATTAGTTAGTTGTTCAAGCAGTGCTTTGTTATGGCCTTTCAGTTCATTATTAAACTGTTGAGAAATGACAACGCTGAATTTTATTCATCTCAAATTATTAATCTTTTGACATATGTATTATACTTTCAGGATAAGATAAAGAAAGGCATTGTGCAAGGAAAACCAACAGTAGTGAAAGGACGTCAACCACCAAAGCGTGCTTAAGAATTACCCGTTCTTCTAGGTTGTATAAATGAATTTAGTTGCTGCCCGGCATTAATTGGGTGAATGCTCATTTTTATGTTTTGTTTATGGGATTTTAGGAATTAAAGGTTTTAAAAAAGGTAAAGTTAAGAAATTAGAATGGGCAGCAAATTCTTTCAATCGAAGCGAACTTTTTTAGAAAAATTTTCAATTAAAACTAATGAATTCTGTTATATTTTTCTGAGTTCTAAAAATGAAGTGAAATTATACGATCTTATTTTTCTACAGTTATTGATATTTATTGGCTTATTCTTCTATTAACTAGTTTTTCTCATCTTTTTTGCACTTCGTTTCATCATTTTCAATGTATTCAATTCAATAACCTGTTTAGAAATGCAGGAAATGCACTTCCAAATAGGTAAAGAAACTCAAATCAGTTTAAATTAAGCGTTTATATCTTCATATTGAATCTATCATTACTCACTTATTTAAACTTTTAAAGCCAATGGCCTACGTTTTTTTGTTTTGATTTTTGTGTTTTCTTTTCTGTTTTCGTTTTCGTTTTTTATATTATGTGTCCCAGTTTTTATACTGTTAATTTTTTGGGAAGTTTCTAGTATTTCGGGAAGTAGGAAAAGAGCAATTTTATTCTAATTGCATTTCCTCGAAAAGAATGGAAGTCATCGTTCCTAGGGAATAGAGGAAAAGTTGTTAAGAGTAAATAATTTTTGTTTTTGTTTTATGTTTCATTCATTAAACTTCCATTCTCGAATGTGATGTCAACATGGGATTTTTATCAATTTTTGTTTGACTGTGATTTTAAATCATTTCAGTTTAGCTTTAAAAAAGTTAATAATCGTGACCTTTGCTTCGTTAAATTATTGAAATTTTAAAATTTGGAGAATATGCGTCGATATTATATGAAAGGTTAAATATTGATATTAATTATTGTTATTCGTTTTGATGTGTCATCGCAGATATTTTTCTAGATTTTTTATGTTTCCTTGCTTCTTCCAGTAATTTTTGCAAACTTGTGCGAAATAGTACCGTCACTCAAGAATAATATGCAAATTTATAAAATCGATTTTCAGCTGAAATTTGAAATTTAAACCTTTTTCCATACTTATTGGTAATCAAAGAAATATTTCTTAATTGTTCCGAATTTTTTCTATCATGATTATAAGATAGTTATAAGTAGCTCAGTATTTTTGTTGTTAGTTTTTTCACCACGCGTAAATATATTTCTCTCTTGCCTTCAGGTGAATTTGTTTTTTTTTTAAATTCTTGGCATAGATATATGTTTTTTTTGCGTTTAAAAATTCTGCGTATATTATCTATTTGTCCCTTCACATATTATCTCTTTTTAGAAATTTTATTACTATTGTAGTAAAATTTATTTAATACAGGTTGTTTCTTTTATTCGGTAAATATACTTCGTACTCATTGCCAGCACTGCTTATATAATTCAATTATTCAGTGCAACATTTTCCGGTGATCACAATTACTGTACCACATGTCGATAACGGCACTCTCATCATGCTTTTAGAAAAGGTTAAGAATAACAAGCATAATATCGTTTCGGTAAATTGGTACATTATGGGCTATCTAAGTAGAATTGTGCATCTAAGTTGTAGCACAGTTTTAATAAACTTAGTTCGATAGAATTGTGGACTATCCAAGTTGTAGCACAGTTTTAATAAACTTTTAGAGGTATTTTTGTTCCTATAAGCATTGTAACAATTGCTGTTGCGTAAAAAGCCTATATTTTCTATTCAGATGAAAAGCATTTTCTGCTACTGATATTATTAGTTTCAAATATGAATACATACAAAAGATAAAATGGTAGTGGAGGTTTTTTAGAAATCATTAGCAGTTTTGCATCTTATCAGTTTATTGAATTTTCTAGTCTAGCAATGATATCAATCAATAATGAAACTTTATCAAAATACTCAAAAATCCCAACTGTCATTATTAATAATTTATGTGTGATTTTGCAATTTTACAACTATTATGTAATAAAGTAGTATCGCTTTCATTGTGATTTACTTTCTTTGTTTTTTTTTTATTTAAATGATAATATCTAAATTGCTGAATTACTATTTATCTTTATTAGCACGAAGATATTCGTATTTTTTTCGCTGAACGCTGCGGATATCATATTTGAGTTCACTAAAATTGATAACACATTTCAGATCACAAGACGAATGTTCATATTCAACGCACTACTTATAGCTTAGTACTGTTTTTTTATATTTTTCTGTTAATTAGCGATTTTTTGTTTTGATAAAGCTTTCAAATGAATTTTGAAATTTTTTTTCAGATATATAGACTGTAAAATATTTGGTCATACGAATTAGTGCGCTATGGTATCTGAACTGTGTATAACTTGACGACAGTTTATTTGACGATATTTGTATGTAAATTAGTGCAATATTAAGTAGACCATCATAACAGTATAATGGTAGTAGCAATTGTTAAGTATTATTGAAGCCAGTAACAATATAGTAAGTTAATAGAAAATATGGATAATATTTTTTAAAAGCCAATAGCGATATAGTAAGTTAATAGAAAATTAGGCCATGTTTTATTTTGAAAAAATTGTAGTAGAACGTTATATGAAATTTGTGTTAGAATCTTATGATATATTGTTTGGTGCTTCTATAAAATGTATTAATTAATGAATGAATTAATCTTTTTTAGGAACAGTTTTGATATGGCAGTGTTTTCTTTTTCGATTTCTCATTTGTTATGAGCAAAATGATGATAAAATGCGGTATTGTTTCACTTGTGGTAAGTTAACAGTAATAATTTATCATGAAAATATTAGCAGTGAATTATTTTAAACAGATTACAGATATAATATCTTTAAAAAAAATATATACGAAAGAAAAAGTACATACAGTTTAATAGATGTGCTTCCTTTTCATCTTCCAAATATTCATTTATGCGTTCATACTATAATTTAATTCATTGTCATATCAATAGCTTGTCCTTTTTAGTTTATCAAGCAATAGCTTATTCACTTTTTTCAGTTAAAAATCTTACAATATGAAGTTTCAGTGAAAATGATAATTATATTTAGAAAAGATTTCTATTACAGAAACCTTTAAAATATACTTATCGCTATAAAATGATATTGAAAGGTGCGTGCTTTAATCCACGAAGGAATCTATTCGTCTCATTGAAACAATTAACAAATTTAAAGGAATATCAGGAGAAACGTATTGTTGGGTAATATTTTAATGCATTCATTCAGTTAAAACGTTTTTTAATTTCTAATATTACGACATAATAGAAAGCTTGAAATGCATGAATAAATTTTGAGAATTTTTATAAAATTTTATTATACTAGTAAAAAGACTTTAATTATATTCAAATAAACTATTCAAACTACGTGAGCATACAGAATTTTATGACTATTCAATTGGTTCCCTATCATTAAGTTCTATCTTGTAGAAAAATTGAGATTGTTATTATGCTTCGTTGATCAGATTATAATCGAAGACTTTTGATGACTTATTATTTTGCTAAACAAAATTTAATTTGTTTAGAAGTTGTCTTTCATCTAATAATGTCCGTTTTCTAGACGAGAATAAGTCTAGCTACGCTTTTGTTTAGAATAATGATTTCATATTATGCTTTTTTCAGGTACACTGCGGAAGAGATGTTTGACATTGCGGCAAATGTATCCGAATATCCCGAATTTGTGCCGTGGTGTCAAAGTGCTAGTGTTAAAGCAAGTCATATTTCTAATTTAATTCTTTATAGGTAGTAACAAACTTCAAAAAATAGCGTAAGCATTGCAGATATTACCATTGATCTGAATAAGGCGAGATACATTCATGGCTTGCAACACAGTTCATCTCGCCATATTAATCATTTACTTTATTTTCTGTTTCAAAGGCTGACATATTTACAGAAACATTCACCAAATTTGTTCACTGCTCAGCTCCAGATTGGTTTTCCACCTGTTTGTGAAACGTATACTTCTCGAATTTCAACCACAAAACCAAGCATGGTCCGGGTAAGTTATTGAATAACTTTAATTGTTCTGAGTGTTCCTGAATACATTTGTCAT